TTTTGATGACTAATTTTATGAGTTAAATATATAGAAATATAACAATGAATGGAAATGATTTATAAAGATATTGTTTATTTAAATTTTTTTATTAAATATATAGGAAAATAGACCTTGATCATACACTTTTGTAACTTTAAAAAAGTTTATAGATTTTTGATGACTAATTTTATGAGTTAAATATGTAGAAATATAACAATGAATGGAAATCATTTATAGAGACATTGTTTTAAATTCTATTAGAAAAATAAAGTTTAATCATACACTTTTGTAATTTTAAAAAAGTTTATAAAGAATTTTGATGACTAATTTTATGAGTTAAATATGTAAAAATATAACAATGAATGGAAATCATTTATAGAGACGTTGTTTTAAATTCTATTAGAAAAATAAAGTTTGATCATACACTTTTGTAATTTTAAAAAAGTTTATAGAGAATTTTGATGACTAATTTTATGAGTTAAATATATAGAAATATAACAATGAATGGAAATCATTTATAGAGACATTGTTTTAAATTCTATTAGAAAAATAGATCATACACTTTTGTAACTTTAAAAAAATTTATAAAGAATTTTGATGACTAATAATTTTCTAATATTTCAAAACAATGACTTTTTATAACTCATTTCTCAATCCTTAATATACTCGTGATTTTTGAGTCGTCACATGATTATTTCTTTTTTTACAAATATTAATACAGACAATTTTAGAACGATGGAATCAACGCAAGTGACTTCTCCATCTCGCCACATTTTCGAGATCCAAAGCCTGGAAGACTTGCAGGCGTCCAAAGTTCTCGTTTCGTCTAGGAAACGAGCATTTCCTCTCGTGGAAGCCTCGCGTGGCCTCGCGATTCTCCACTCGTTCAACGTCCGAAAGACACGCCCGGTATTGCTTTCAATTAGCAGCACCTGGAGATCGGTATCCGGTACCATCGCGGCCAACGACAGAGGTGAGCTCGCCGCGCAAAAGTTCGCCGATAAAGCGAGCCGCGATCCTCCGCGGGAACTTAATAATGGTAATTACAAGGAAGCCATGAAAATTTATGATGTTATTCGGTTGAATGTGCGCGCGCGCTCGAACCGTATGGAAATGGAAGGTAGTAAAAAACTTGAAAACTTTTTCCATCTTCCCGTGTCTTTTCTTCGAGCGCTCGTCGAGTATATATTCCATAAGTTAACGAACGAATATTACGATTGTGATAATAACGTGATGATGATAATTGAAAAATGGTTTTTGGAAAATGAGAAATATATCAAATGGATATTATACAAATTTATGGAATAGTGTATTGAAAAAGAAAAAAATTGAAGTAATGAATTTACGTAAAAAATTTAAAATTAACAAGCGATTTGTGAACGAGACATAGAATAATTATTTCGAATTATTTCGGTATTTTGCCTTCAATAGAAAAATGCGTTGTCGAGGAAGGGGACGTGTTTTGTTGTTTCGTTGTGTCTCTTAATTTGTGTGGAATACCTTGTGTATCCGCATATGCGATGCAATTAGTGATCAAATTCTTCGATATTGCTAAGTATCGGCGCCAATATTGCTCGCGACGAGAAATTGGAATTGCGTTTGATGTTCCGACGATGGATTCCCGGCAAATGGACAACTCGTGTTCGCAAATTTTATAGCGCCGTTTTTGAAAATAAGAATTCGGATATTTTGGATATCGGTGGTTTTTTTTTTTTTCAAAGAAATTATTTTAAAAGTATCATCAATTTGTCATAATTATAAATATTACGCATTATTATAAGTTAAATTTATTCAAGTAATAGCAATAGTAGGTTTATGCAAGAGAAAGATCAATGGATTGGAAAAACGATCGAAATAATTTCTATGCAAATATTCTTAATCGACGCGTTCGCTCTGGCGTAAGTTTCCTTTTTCTCTCTCTCTTTCTCTCTCATCATTATCTCGATATTATTCAGCGCTACGCTAATAATATGTGACTCACGAGAGAGAACAGAGAAAAAAAAAACAAGTTTGATTTGTTTTTGCGGATCATTGCGGAGACCTTGCGTAGAATGCTTACGAGTCACGAATTCCGCTTTTAATTTCACTATCTTGTCACGAGATTTCTACCTCATTTATCTAATTTAATCTCAACTATGACAGTACATTTAATTACTTAGATCTATTGTTTTCAATAATAAATGCAAAAGTGTGTTGCAAATGCAACATGAATATAAATCAATTAATAAAACCATAAAGCTACTATTTAAACGAACGTAATTAATGTTCTAAATGGATCTAACTAACTAAATGGATCGAAATTTAAATAGTAGAAAATAAATTTTGTATTTATTCCTATACGTATCTTTAATGTTTTTCATCTCTAAGCTTAATTATCCTTAGGACACTTTCAATTCATATATTATTTTTATTATACTATTTTACCACTTTACGAGGTACTATTTTATACCTATACCCTAACTTCAACGTTTAACTTCAACATCAAACTTTCAACCACCAAATGATTATCCTATCTCGCAACGAGTACCTCGATTAAGCAACAATGTAGGTAAGTACACGAAGCAATAATCCACTACGTACAACATCCAGCCACTGTAAGCTCGGAAGCCTTCGAGCTATTCGACCGGTCGCGCAGAATCGTCGCCTCTCACGCGGTGGCTGGTGAGGTCAAGGAACACGGCGCGTCGACCGATCTCATTTTTCGTTGGCGCTTGGTACGAAACGCGCGCGCGCGTATCAGGCGCAATGGTTGCAATGCGTCCCTCGGCGCATGGATCGCATCTCGGCCTCGACCGATGTTAAATGGCCGCCACGGCGCGCCGGGACGCAAACTAATGCCCCGCGTCCAGTTCGTACACGTAGCGGCGCGACTGCTACCGAGCTCGGTGCCGGATTCCGCGGCCCACCGCGTAATGAATCCACTTTGCGCCGTGCCGCGTTTCCTTCGACTTTTTCCACTTCCCCTCCCGCCCGATCGGTCTTTCTTTCTCTCCGTGGCAGGCCACGAACGCCACTTAATGAAATGTCACAGGTGTCCTACCGATCGCCGAGCTAAATGTCGCCGGCTTCCCATACCCCGCCTCGGCGAGCCAAGCGATTTCGACTTTACGCGGAATGCCGTGAAGATGACGCCGCAGATACCGACCGGTACCCTGCTCTCTCTTCCGAACCCGCGATCCTGGAATCTTATCTCGTGTCGACAGTGTGTTTGTGACTCTTGGTAAATTGTAGGGAGGAGTTGGGTTATGGAATTTATTTATTTATTTTTTTTCTTTTTGTTTGGATCGTTTCGAATCACGTATATTTCTATTATTCTCGACCGATTCGTATGTACAGATGATATAATGTCTACTTTTTCTTGCATTTAACATAACCTATATCCAGATTAAAGACTGTAAAAAATTGTAAACATACTTTGAACTACGCATAACGGTGCAGTACGTAGATAAGTACATATTGATAATAACACAAACTGTCGACTTAACACGGATAACATGATTCCGGTGAATCGAATTCCAGAAAGTAGTGGAGAAAGCGATGCTGAAATGTTTAGAACGCTTACATACCTTGCGTATTTTTTTACGTGTAAAACGAATAGAACGAGATACATCAGTCAGCTTATTCAGTGATTTATATGTTCAACAACCTCTCCAATCATCGCTTCATCACCAATGTGCAAAGAAATCCCGCACTGACAAGTATGTAGAAAGCATATGATAGAAATTGCACAACTAGGATATATTCAGTAGAAAAGCGCATAAAGTGCAGCCATGTCCGGTTTCAACTGAGGTCTTGAAAAGATAGGGAGAGCGACGATCTAATTCCTATTTCACTGCCCTCTCGAGGCGCATCGATGAATTATGATACGCATACTTACGAACCCCCTTGTTCACGGTTCTGTACACTGATTCCGATCGCTACCTCTCGCCGTGCGTCGATCTATCGATCGATCGATCGATCGATCCGTAAAGCAACCTCTTTGGATTCGATCGATTTTTCTCGTTCATCTTCGTGAACTGTTCGAGAGAAACGTCAAAACCATCCGTCACCGATCATTACGCGCTCGCGGATTTCAATGTCCTTGTTAAAAGGGATTGCCTCGTGCGGTGACCTACGACACGCGGCAAGCTGACGAGAAGATAAATGGCGGCGCACGATTTCGCCGACTGTTCTGCTTAGCGCGCAGCCAACTTGTTACGATTTGTTGCAGCATGGGAGAATGGTATCGTGGAGGAAAACCTGCACACGGGAAACGAGACATCTCTATCCTGGCTAAGTCTTTTTCAATTTCTTTTGTTTTCCAACTGAAGAATATGTAGATATTGTTAAACGAGGAAGTTAAAGGAATTTATATCCACGTAATTAATGTTTAAAGTTAGGTTAGGAATTGAAAAATTTGAACTATTGTTACTTGTTGCAGATATGTACAAAATCTATTAAGACCGTGTTATGCAAATTGCGTTAATTGCGACAACAAAAAGCTTTCGTGACTCAATATATCTTAATTGCTAAATAATAATTGAATGATCCATTAAATCATTGAAAAATCGTACAAATTTAATTTTATGGAAACGAACAAGAAATGTGTATATATATATACACGAAATAGATTACTGATTAACGATACAGGAAAAAAGTCATAGAATCATCATAAACATTGCAATTTAACTTTTATGGAGATGACGGTCGCTTTTGATTTACTTAACATGTTTCGTTTAGCAAGAACAAGTTGGTCTCTTCAGTTTAACGGGCCACCTTCGAATACGTACAAGGTAGATCTTCTAAGTGACGTACACGGAAATGTTCCTTACAAATGGTCTTAAGCAAGTTGTAAACTCGTAAAGCGCATAAATTCGAATGACACGTGGAACAAGTAAGAAAGTCCTTGCGATTTAAGGTATTCTACAATTCTGGATTATATAAGTAAATATTCTCAATATATATAATTTTAAATTGTCCAACTATTCATAATTAATTCTTTCCTTCATCAATTTTACAGTTCTTCTCTCTTCGTCGATTTTTATTGACGAAACACTTGAATTTCTTGAAATCAACTCGAAGTTTAATCCAACCAATGGTACATGCGCATAATCGCGTTCTCGTTGCTTGTCACGGGGCCCGCTACGTTTCCGTGAGTGCGATTTACGCCGTGAGCGTGGTCGTCGGTCGAAGCCAGGATAAGCGGCGTTTTATGGGGCCCCATGCGCCGCTCACTCCATGGCGGAAGGGACGCACTTTGTTCCGCGGCTGCGAATGTATCCCCAGGCCTCGATCCACCCACAAGGAAGCACTTGAAGAAAGAGAGAGATGCCTTGTCGCGGAAAGAAGATTGTGGTCCATACGACGTGTCAGTTGAATTCTCTATATGGTGTCGCACTGACAAAAGAACACTAAAGCAATATGACTGTCTTTTAAGAAATATTATAACATTTTATTTTTTTGCTTTGAATAATTGACCATTTCATCATGTTGTACATATTTATATTTAACATAAATTTTGATTTATTATTTTACAAAATAACTGGCTGATTTGAAATGGTAATAATCTAATTTAAACTTCATTTTGCTATCTTTATTTTTTGGAATGTTTCTTCTTCATATAACGGAATTGTGCTAGTATACGATATCTAATGCTGAATTTTACAGGAAACTAACATCGTCTATTTCTGGACACCCTGTATGAGAAGATAAGTCGAAAGACAGCAGCGGAGAAGCAGCTAGGCGCAAGAAGGAGTGACGGAGGGAGGCAGAAGAAGAGAGACTCGGCAGGTGAGGTGTCACGAGGCGCGCGAGTAATATATCGTTGTTCGGCCCATCGTAGGTGGGTGTGCTCATCCCGTGGTGCTCGGTCTCTGGTATCTCACCCATGCCCCTGGCGCTAAGAGAAGAAGAAGGCTAATGCTGGTATAAACGCGCCCGATCACTTTTTTTCCTCAGGCTCTTTCTCCCTCTTACCACCTCTTCCTCTCTCTTTCTCTCCTACCCTTTTTGATGTTTCTCTTTCTCTTTCCGCAAGATTGCTATTAGCAAATGCCAACGTGAAACGTGCACACCCGCGCTCACCTGCCTGCCACTACACCTCGCCGATATTTTTCTTTTTAGTATTTTGTACTACAGAGATTTAGACAGATCATGGAACAGTTATTATATTGTCCTTCTTAGAATGTTTTATCTAGCTATTGAGGAGAAAATTAAAATTTAAAAATGCATAAAACTTGAAAGGACTGTACAGGATATTAATGAAAAAGTAAATAAGATGACACTGTTTCATTTTATCTTGTTTTAATTTAATAAATATGATTTTATGTCGTGATTTTTTTTATAAAATATATTAATAATATAATAATATAATATTAATAATAATAATATATGTAATATTAACAATATTAATAATATACTTGTAGAAAAAGCAGATGTTCATCATATAAAACACCATCTAATTATAAGAAAAACAACCAACAACTTATGACACAATAGTAATAAGAAAATTGATAATACAGTTAGTAAATTATAGATATTACTCAAATGGTTCTTAATTATTTTAATTAAGTTTCAAACAACTGGGATGTATTTTTAGTTGGAGAATGATTGGTTCCAACAAGGATTCTTGGAAGGGCGGGGTCCGCCTTCTAATTCATAGGCGGTGTAATTTGTGCGTCGCCGACTAATTGGCGGCGTTTCGCGATTTATGCTGTGACACCACTCGTAACATCTGCCCCCGCTGCACAACGCCATCACATCCCTCGGATGCCCCGAAGGAGCCGCATGATACCGGCCAATCATACATATTAATGGAACTCACGGGCCAACGCCGAGCCCTGAAATTGTTCGTGCAATCGATTCGAGCCGGTCGAATCGAGATGCCAACATGAGATAAACCTCTAGTCTAACGTTTTCCAACCTTTTTCGGGAATCCATCCCAATCCAAAGAGTTTTTACATTTTATATTATTGAATCATGTTTTTAGAATAAATTTCAATAGTTTAGTTTAGATTAGATTATTATTTTTTAGTTTAGATTATAAAACAAATTTTTTTCATCTTAGAAAGTAAGAGAGAGCAGAGTTAATGTAAAAATATATAATATTTGCTATTTCATTTTTACAGATTTAATGCTATTGTGCAAAACAATAATTTGAGTGACCAGTGCATTTGGATCTTTCTAATATTTCAAACATATTTTATGGAATATTTTTTGGAAATAAAAATATGGCACAGAATGTTAATTTTTAAAAAATCTGTGATGAAGACTAGTGATTAATTCGATATTTTAAAAAATTTTGGAACACTAAAGGTAAAAAATTAATTAATAATTCTTGCAAAAAGTTTAGAGGAGTTTCTATCTGATGTACATGATCTTAGGTGTGGCTATAATGAGTGTCACCACTTTATGCTTTACGATCAAGCTATATTGGTTTTGTGGACTGTATGTGTATACAAACAGGCCAAAGTACCGCAAGATTTCCTTCTCTAAAAAGAATTTCCATTCGAGATTCAAAAAATATCGGATTTATTGAGCTCACGAATGAACCGTTCTCTGGCAACATTTCAATTATAGAAACATATAGAACCATGTTATCAGATCGACCTTATGTGCAATTAAATTAGAATGGTAATTGCATTGGTGCCGAACTATCAAACAGAGAAACATAGATGGATTTATGAAGTATTAGGGGATCATATTTTTTTCTTTTTTCTTTTTAATTTAATTATGGTGAAATATTGAATAGGATATGTTCTAATTTGTTTCTATTTGGAATATTTCTATATCAAATTACAATTTAAAAATAATGTTTTAAATAAGTATGAAAATTTTTTGATATTAAAATTATTTCAAGATTCAGATTTAAAATGTATATAAGTGATAAATTTTCAGCTTGGATATCTTTGATATTGCAAATTTTTATCAAATCTAGTTATTCAAGATATGAGAAGCCTGTCATGTCTCGATTGAAATTTTAATGTTAACATGCTAATAAGAATGTACCATTTAATTATAAGTATTTGATCTGATATAAATTAGACATGTTTAAATGCTAAAGTAACAATGTGTATATACCATTTAACTGTTCACTAGCTTATCAAGATTTATCTTCTTTATTGAAATAAAATCATGATAACCAAACTCAATTGCGAAATATAGTTGTGTGTACTCATAATAGAAAAGCAAGTGGTATTTCAAAATATGTAATTATCGTACATAGTGGAATTTATACTTGAATATAATTAATATTTGAAATTATCCCTAAAGTTAATATTATATTTGTGATTTTTTTTTATTTCAGTATATTTTTGATTAAAGTTTTTGAAAAATTTTGCTGCCAACAATATCATAATATTCTACAATAACATAAAAGAATCCAAACAGTGATTTCAAAAATTTTTAATTATCAGAATATATATTTATTTCGGTATTGTACTAGAACAGATGTTACAATGTTCTAGAACCAATTAGTTCTAACATATCCCACTGTTCCAATCCAATCTTTCCCTCCAACCATTCCACCGTCCACTTTCATCTAAATCATCTCTGAAACGGCTCACCTGGATCCTCTAACACCACTACTTGCTAACCGTGGCCAATTAACTACAGATCCATCCTTTTATCACGGGTTAATTAACGATCATACAGTACGGATCAATTTTCATGTGGCAGTAGATTCCACAAACGGAAGAGTGAAAGCTGTCTCGCGCGTTTTCCCGATCTTTCCATAAATCGAATCGAGTAAATGAATAGAACTCTCTCCGAGAGAGGCGTAACGCGACGGACAATTAACCATCCGGCCGATTATTATCGATCTCTGCATACGAGATGGTCAGACGTGGTGAAAGTTAGTCCGGTGACCTTTTCGACCCTTGCACGCAGCAGGAGTAGCAGATGCGTGTGGAACGAATTCGATATAAGAGTGAGCAGAATCATAGCTTCTGCTGTTTGCTGAATTGATTTTTACACTGTTTGAGGAATAAATTATTTAGCAAATAAAGAGGATATTTTATTCAATGAGGATTTTACTATTTTCAGAGAACGACTGATATGATTTATATGTTCAAGTTCATGCAACATATAATTTTTTAAAATATGGTAAGTATTATAATTTCTATTGTTATCGTGGAATAAATTATTTAATAAATGAAACATTTATTAAATTGAGAATTTTATAACAAGATGACAAATTTATAATTTTTGTATCTAACTTATATTATATAATGTAAATTTTTTTTTTGGTACGTTAAAAATCATAACTTTTATTGTTTTTTTGAATATTGAAAGTTTATCTTTACTGTATTCATAAAATAAGTTATGTAGCAGATGAAAAAGAAATTTATTTATTAAATTCTACATTTATTGAAATGTAGAATTTAGATAAATATATTTGCAACATATTCATTTATCAACAACTTGTTATTCCATCGAATCTTTTAGCGAAGAATCTTGAAAGATCGATGAAAGATTAGTCGATGATCGATGAAATTTCTTTACCGATCGAGCCTTCGAGCTTCGTGATCGGCTCGTATTAACATCAAAAATAAATTTCCATTTTCTCCAGCATGGTGAGCGTAGAGCAAAGCCCAAGACGAAGTGTACGGTGTCTGGGTGTGGCCGGATGGACGATCTCCGCGAATCGATCGTGACCCCGGACGATTTCTACGCGGCCACTTGAACGACCGACTCTCCGTATCCCGATGTACACATACAAACGTATAATACACGTATTAATAATTTCGACCTCGCTCAGCGTCGTCGAATTATCGGGGGAAACATAATTGCCTGGAGGCAAAAAACGCACGAATCGAGCGCCGTTTTCCTCATGCCTGGCCGCGATCCTTTAATTGCCTCAATTAAAAAGCACGCGACCACTTTTTACTCGTATAAACGACCTATCTAGCGAGCAACCGTTTAAATCACAGAAAAGAACCAAAAGGAACGTAGAAAAAGAAAGAAAGAAAAAAGGAAAGAATTATTCGAAAAAAAAAAAAAAGGAGAAAAATCGATCACGTCGGCCCGTGCGTGCAATTAACGCGATCTCCTTAACCGCGATTTTGACGGCTCGATCTGGGGTAAAAACACGAAAAAATCGAGCATGTTTCGCGTTGGCGAGTCGAGGAAGAAGAAAAAAAAAAAATAATAATAATAAAAAAGGAAACTTTGGATCGCGTGCACGCGCGCGACCGGTTCAAATAATCGAGATTCCACGGTGATTAATTCAAGCCGGAAGACGCGCGTTCCATCGAGGTTCGAGAGCAGTGGAGAACCGTTGTCGGCTGCCTGGACGAACGTCTTCATCGCGTAAGCGCAGCCGATGGTGACCCGGTAGAGAGGGTATCAAAGGAGAAGGGATTAAAGGAAGAGGGAAAAAGAGGAAAGGGAGAGTGGAAGAAGGGAACATCAGGTCGGAATTAGAAGTCTCTATGCGGCCGTCCACAGTTCTTGTTAACATATTTTTCGTCCCCGCCGCCGGTAGAGGAACAACTCACTCGCGCGGCTCCGGAGATGGTGTGCACGCGAGTCCCGGTCACGCACGGTCACGCACTCGGTCGATATGTAGCCCATACATCAAGCTACGCTCGACAGGTGTGTGCGTATTTACTTGTACTTGCGTGGCCATGTGTGATGGTATGTGAAAGAGGACCGCGAAAACTAATTTCCGTCGAGAGGATTGGATCGCGGCGCTGCGATCGCGGACGCCCACGGTTGTTGATAGTACTGTGTATATACTCGTGAGAAATCTCGCAGGACGAGGATATTTGTATTTTTGCGAAAGTATCGTTTTATTATTAGAAATTGAAATATTTTTACTATAAGAATTATTCACATCGTGCACACGACGTGCATTATTTCTCAATATTATGTTTATTTGGTCAATCAATATTTGTTCCAATATTCATAATTTGTGAAGTCATAATAGTTTTCGATCAAATGATTCATGATCGAATATTTGCAACGAATCTAATCTAACTATTTATGTACTATTTCATGTGTCGTGTCTAGTTGTTTATTTTTATCGTAAAACTCAGTTCGATATACACACTTATCTATAACAGATTTTATTAAACCTAATAAATATTTATGATTTATAAAATATTAGCGAGTCGTTTAATTTAATAATATATCTGTATTCGACATTGTGCATGACGTGTGCAACTTGATCCATAACAACTTGCGTTAATTAACGCGCATAAAAAAAGTGAGGTTATAAAATTCGGCTTGTGCAAACTTAACGAAAAATTAATCGAGCACGTCCAATTAATTACCTGAACAAAAATTCCTTTGAACTTTTTTTCTCCTCTCGTCATCTCATAATAATCATCTTTCTTTTATCGCACGACGACCATACATGAAAGTATTTCGAGATCGTTGGTACTGCTTGCGAAAATTGCTATGGCTGCACAGAACCATGAAATTCCGTTCAATCTGCGCTGTGACTAACGCTAGCTCGATTAATATAAGTTGTTGCATGTTACGACCGTCTAATTGCATTCAGAAGATCGGTGTAACCTGTTCACATTGCAATTCTCGTTTGTCTGACTCAGCGATCACGATGCTTACTTTGATTCTTATTGGAGATAAGTTTCTCTAATGCAAGTGTCGCTTTTTTCGAACAGTATCCCTTTTAGTTGCGAAAAAGATACGTTGCATGTTATGGAGATAGAGGTTATGTAGTATAGAATATATAAGACTTCAATATTTATGGTATGCAGTTAATAATAATGAGATTGAAATATTATTATAATAATTTCTTATGTATATCTTTTGTTAAAATTTCGTAAAAATTTATATATTTTTAAAATGCATTATTTCAACTTCTCTATTGAAAATAGATAATCGATATTAATTCGCGATAGATTTAACGATATTCCTTTCGAATCTTAACGCTTCAATATAGTCTCGATGATCCTGTCAGGATTTATGAATTTCTGCACGCATAAATATGTTAAAGCAAAAGCAACATGATATAAGGTTAACTAGAATCGAGTGAAAATTCGAATGAGCTATGATATCACTAGAAGTTCGAATGTCATTTGTAAATGTATGCAAGACTTGTAATGATTTGAATTATGATTTGACAACTGATCTTTCAACTATATATTCGCTCTTAGAAGTTTGTTCTCATTATATTTCTCAAGAAATCGTATTATATTTAAAAAATTAACAACAAAAAATTTGTTGATAATAATCAATAATGAATATTATAAGTAAGTAAATGATTGAAAATTTTCGAAAGTATAACCAGTAATGTTAATTAAACTTGCAAATAGAGATTAATTTAATAAATTTATTATTAAAGACGCGTTTTAATTTTCCTAATAAATAAGGCGATAGTCTTAGAAATTCATTTTTGTTGCTCGAAACAGATAGTCATAATAACATATAAATTTTGTCACATGCAGTTAATTTGTAAATTATGCGCATTTTTCTACATCGAAATACATTTTTATAATACAGCAATTAGAAACATTGTTAATGCATGTGTGGTCAGTAATATAAAGCTATAAAGGATAAACATCAAGTTGGAATTTAACTTTCTAAGCATTGGGTTTTAACATTTAAATAAATATAGCGAGTAATAGACGAAGTAAATTGATTTGAATTAATGTCTGAAATTCTCGAATAATTATATTGCAAATATTTATAACAGAACATAATATTCTTAATTATTACAAAAAATATGGAGAATTATAAAAGAAGAATGATCCGTATAATCACTTCGCAATGAAAATAAAAATATTATAGAGAAAAATTAAAAACAAGTGACAAAAATCTAAAAAAATTACTAACAAAAAGAAAACATCAAAAAAAGTAAAAGAAAACATAAGGTAATCCACATCAAAAGGAAACGTCATAAAGAAATATAAAACACACGAATGTATCCACAAACAGTACCTTATCCAATCAAAGTGAAAACAAACCAACTGGTCAAACTGAAACACATTGAAACGTTCAGATTGGTCTACATTTCCGTTTCATACCGTTACTTCCGACATTTTGCTACATTTTCCACGCGGATTCCTCTCGACCCAATGGTGGTGTACATCAAAGCGGACACTTTACGAACCTTGCCGTGCTGAAATAAGAAGATAACACGCGACAGCCTGCAGGATGTAAGCGGTGGCTGCGTGCATAAGAAATTACGGTTGCTCGCTACTTTCTCGGTTTGCTGTCCGCTTGCTTCGAGCGTGAGAAAGGTAACGATGACCGTCCACGCTTGCGCTCGCGCGAGCCACGACGATTAACAGCCAAGATTTTTCACGATCGACCATTCTTAACACTCGTTTCGATCGAGATCTTGCAAGTCATCCGCTGAATACTTTATTCCGGATGGAACTTCTCGAATAAGGTTACATCATGAGAAACGCATGTCTATATTGTTATCTTTTTTATTCTCGATGAAAAAAACATTAAAGTTTCTGTTTTCTGATGCTTCGATTTCGAATCGAGTTAGATTATGTTGTACGTTATGTCATTTGTACTGCGCAGTTTTCGTATAACTTTCTATTTGAATCATATATATATCCTGGAACGAAAGCATACAATATTTAATCATATAGTGTTATAAATAAAATAAAAAGATTTTAACATTTTATGATGAAAAAAACAGTTATTTTTTTATCTATAATCATTCAATTATAGGAAGGAAAAAAAATAATAGTAGTTACTGTTTTTTCATAAATTATTGAGTTTGCTGTTTTGAAACTTATAAATGCAACCTGATAATCTTACGAATAAAAAAAAATTAAGCAAGCTTGATCATTATTATAAATGTATAGCAATTGTAATGATATATCTCTGTTGAAATTTGAAATTCAATACAATGTAATCATAATTTTAGAAATTTCCTTTCAATAATTTGGAAAATAAAACAAAAAATTAATATCTATAATGCTGGATTAATTTTAATAGTTACTTATGTTATTTATATATAACATATATTTTAATAGTTACTTATATATAACAATATTTATGTCAATTATTATATAATAATATAATAATAATCGATTTTTAGAATTTCACAAAAATGTTAATTGCTTAACTTGTTTATTATTTTTTGAAACCACAATCACTACCTGCAGAAAGGAAATCTACTGACATTTCGCTATTTTCTTAAAAGTTTAACTGCGTCGTATATTTTAATTATTTATATATTATAGTATGATAAAATCGTATGATAAAATCAATTCATACTTCGATATTATACCATTATTTAAATACAAGAAAATTAAAAGCATTCAGCTATAATAAAACCAAATCACGTATATCTCAAATTAAATATTATCTCGAATAATCTTTAAATACCTGACCATAATTGTACCGTAACACGCAAATAAAGTTTTCGAATATTAAGATAGTTAAATTTTTCGTTTAAGATATTCAATCATATGGAACTAATTCGTACTCTGTCCTTCAAAGCGCGAATATGAACACGTTTTGTAAAAAAAAATCATCTAATAATTCGATGCAAGAAGGAAAAACAAAAGTTAAAAAAAAAAAAGTTTGAAATCAATTAAACGTATCGTGCACGATTTATATCAAAGTTGATATTTCATGTGTTCTTTATGCAATTGAATTTTCTGTGAATAAACGTAATGAAGTTCCAGTTTATATTAATGTTTTAAATTTGTAATTAATTTTTGGAAATATAAGATTTATTTTTATAAAGCAATTTATCATTATCTTTTGCAAAATTTTCTTATGATTTATAAAAATTTATATATATTTAAGACAATTATTATTAACAAATGATAATTAGACTACTGGAAATTTTATAATTAATATTATATATTATATTTTTTGGTTATTAATAGATTTTTTATTCCACATAAATAATTCAGATAATTATTATTAATTTTCTTCGAATAAATTATTAATTATATGTTAATTCATCAATCATAAGCTATAATTTTGTGTACTATATTTACAGAATTTTTATACTTGTTAATTTTTTTTTAGCCTAATATTCAAAACTACAATATTTTTTATTTTTATTTTTTTTTATTTGACAATTATTATTTTTCAACATTTTCAATTTCATAAGAAATCAGAATTCAAACATAGAAAAAAAATGTTCAACAATATTCTCTAACATGTTCCACTTTTGTTTCCTTGATTCAATTCTCATCACCTCATCAATAAAACTAGAGTATCAAAAGAGAACATACGTGAATTTATCAACTTTTCTAATCATAAGCATAGACACATTCCAATCGTACTTGAAAATCACAAATACCATCGACCGCGTTCCGTGCTTTGAACGAAAACTACATATACACTTGGTGTCGATTACTTCGGACAGCACGAAGAAAATAGCTGGTTAGAAGGGGGCGATAAAATGGCTGGTAAAACGGTCGTAGCTCGGCATACTGGCGCATACAAATGCCCGTGGAACATGATATCTATTTCATAACACCCACAAAGCGTCCCCCGTGCGAACGCAATCACCGTTACGTAATCCGGCCTTAAAATCGCCATGTCACGACTCGACTTGATTGCAGACTGGCGTTCTACAGACGAAAGATCGTCGTCGCGTAACAGCGCTGCCAACCATTCTAATTTTCCATCGATATATTACCATTGGTAGCCGTTAGGGGCGACAGTACTGGGACAGATCGAAAGCGACGACAGTACTAGGACAGATCGAAAGCGACGACGTTCTCTCACCGCGAGACAATGGCGGCTGATGTATGCGGCCAGTTCTTTGCCACGATCTTGAAAAATGACCGACCGACGCACGCCTGTTTCTCCTGACGAGCCATTCAGCAGTATAATGAGGCGGATGATGCGACTAGGAAACGCAGGCACCAGCTGCGGACAGCCGGTTTCGAAACGAAAGGCGAAGATGACATACAATATGCGCACAAAAGTTGGTACGATCATTTTGTTCGATGTATATTAATCAAAGAAAAAGAAGTTATGAAAACATTTTCGATTAGTATATTTTTTATGTTATTGATAAATTGTTTAAACAAAAAGGAAGTAATTCTAAAATAAAATTTTTTTTAATTTTTTACGCTTCCTTTAGAGGTTAGAAAATCTAATTTCTATTTCGTTTCGATAATAATATTGATTCAATGTCAAACCAAATTTGCTGCTACAATTCTTGAATCATATAAAAAATCTTTTGATTTCTTCCTTAAAGTATTCACAAAGAATAAACGCACGCGGAAGGCGAGACGATAAATCGTTGCAGCTGCGCGTGCAGAGATCCGATTCCCCTAAATGGGATAACGATCGAAAGGCGACCGAGATCGCGGTGTTAACCCTTAACATGCATCCCTTGAAGACTCATCGAGCCACGGAATCTTTTGTCGCCGTAGTTCGCTGTTACCATTTGTGGTCTCTTCGATTGGATCTCCGCTTGTCCTTACGGCACCATCCTCGCGCGGATCCTTCGCAATTGGATGCAGTGTTCGCTACTGTTCTGTCAAACGGTGACTCGTACGCGTGCGCACTAGAAACTGAATGTGAGGTAAGAAATAACGATTATTTTGTACACGACAAAAAATTGAACAAGCATATAAGAAAACTGATGAAAGAAGAAAAAAAAGAATAGAAATAAAAAAACATTAGAAGAAAATATATTTTTCATACAAAAAACAAAAATTAATGTAATTTATTATCAACATAATAAATCAATAAGTTCATAATTCACAATCGAACAAACACTCTTGACTAATTCATTATAGGATGCAGATTATCAACTAACTTTCGTAAAAAAGAAGTGTACGAGCAATATACAGAGAACATGCATGGAGACAACCGTTAAGGGTTCCAGATTGTAAGATAGAGGGTGCTGGTGAACAAGCCACAACTAGAGATCTCTGCACTCATAAATTCGCCAGTTCGTTTGAGAGTATGCCGCTACGGTAACTCAATATTGGAACGCCTTAACTATGGAGTCCTGACTTTGTGCGCACTTTTCTGTGCCGTAATTCCGCGCGATGTATAAAGCAGCCTCGAGCGAGGCACGCGTTTCTCCGTGTCCAGCTACCTTTAATGAGGCCGACTCCTGGCGTGGGTGAACGAAGAGAAAGAGAGCCGACGATTAATAGTACGCTGAGGACGATATAGAGGAGCCTGGCGACGATACCCTGGAGAAATAACATTGCACGCCGATATTGATCGCTTGCTATCGAGATCGTCTCTATCTGATCTGCGCTTCTCTACGTCTGCCGACTGTTCGATTTCGCGTCTGGCCTGTCACATGCTTCACAAGTAAACACAATGAGTGAATGTTAAAGATTTTGAGGTTAAGTTTTCAAATCTAGATTTAAACATTATTTTATTTCTATATGTGTTTATATAGAAAATATTATCATTATCCTTAAAGAAAAAATTTAGGTTAAATTAAAAAATAAATATGATATTTGATATTCTAATTAACCAGTTCTTTCAAAATGAATAAAAATAAATTTTATTTCCACAATAAAAACAAACTTAATTTATAATATCTAATATCCAAATTCTTTCAGAAATTATACATGCCACCATGCAAGACCAACCTAGAAATATCAAGTTCACAGCTGATCTTCATGGAACGTAAACAAAACGCGGCAGAATGGAAAAGCAACGGGTAGGTTGGTCGAGCAACTTGTCCTGGAGGTATAATGCGCTTTGCACGTGTCCCCGGTTGTGGCAAAGAGGATATCAACGCGGAAGCGGCGGGCACCGCGACGAGAATCACGGTTGTCCCTTGCAGTTTCTCTTCTGGGGCCGAGCGTTCTTTCCAAGTGCTCCGTTGCAGCTCGCTTCTGCGACCTGTTACGCGGCCTGATGGTTTTGTTTCGAACCAGGGACGCCACTATACTCTCGCAAGACATTGATTCATCCTCTTTCTTCGTGTCTCCACCGTTAGTCGGTGCAATTGTACGCCATTGCATGTTTTGCTCACGTTCTCTTGTTTATAGTCTTTCAAAAATAGTTGATTTCGAAGTGATCCTTTAAAAAATAATCTTTTAAAAAATGATCCTTTTAAGAATTGAATTTTTGTGAGTTCAAGAGTTTTTTAATTTACTATGGAATTTTTATTGAAAAATTTGATGTTGAAATTTTTTTGTATAATTATAGCAAATTTATAATTGAAAAACTGAAAGCAAATATTAATTTTTAAATTATATATCATTCCTTTCCAGAAATTATCGATTATATGATTCATTTTTCTAATTCCGCATTAGCAATTTTAAAAATTTCAGGTTTCTATGGATATTCGAAACTATGTTGTTTTTTAATAAAATAGATGTTTATTATTATTAGTCAGATCGACTAGATATGCTAAAAGTAATAGCCAATTAGAATAATCGAAACAATGCGGCATTGATTATTATTTCAAAAAAGAGATATTTTCGAATGAATCATGTTTTCGTTTTTTCAATTTCGGTTCAGCTATCATTTATGATTATGTCATTCTCCAATATTTGGATTTTTAAAACTAATTATCAAACATCATTCAAATATTAATAAAATAAATATGAAAATTGTAAATATAATTATAAATATTATTTTTAATATTTAAGAATTTCATTAATAAAAACAATATTCAGAATAAAAAATAATTTCAAATCAAAATTTTTTTCTTAAAAAGTTTCTTGAAATATAAATGTAATTAAATTTCTCGCACCTGCACCGAATTCGTGTTGCATTGTCCTGTAAGTTACAATGGTGGTTGCATACACAGTAAATGTATATAGTTAGCTAGATACTAGTTAGCCATGGCACGTATCGTCTGTGCTCTCCAGCCACGACCGATGATTATCTCGGTTTCAGCCACAAAGCACGCCAGTCCCACGCACGCCTTGTCGAGTTATTAATCGCCACATAATTCTACAATTACAAAGGTTAATCCGGCGTTTTCACGCTCCGAGCGTCGTGGGTGCTGTGACAGCTTCACGACAAACGACACTTAGATGGGGGCGCTTGCATCGAATAGTAGGGGAAAGAGAGCGGGTCTCGTTGTCAGACCAATCTGTGTCACCTTACTTTCGATCCTCACCTTTGCCTCTGAGGGACCGGGAATTTCGCGTTCTGCATGGAAACACTCGCGTGATATACCGCTGCGAAATAGTTAATAGAAAGAGTCTCGCCTCGTGTATTACGTGGGATTCGAATGGTTGACGAGAGAGAGTGAAAAACAACGTGATTAACACCTGCACTATGTACTGTCCTCGCAGGAAATAAGAAACAAACAACCGTCGTTTTTGTTTGACTTATACTATTTTCTTGGTTAAAATGTTTTATCTAACATTTCGAAAAACATATGTGAGAATTAAAATTTTTATTTTTTTTTTCTTTATGATTAGAAAAAATAAATTAGATTTAATTGTCAGTAAGAATGAGGTTATCTGTATGCTAAGTGCATATATATATTTCATGAATTTTTAATACAAGTTACATATAAAAATAAAGCTTTATACATATTATTTTATATTTATTTTTTCATGTAAATTTATCCACTTTATGTAAATAATGTTTTTCATTTCTTTTTTACGAAAAGATGACTTTTTAGGCCTTAGTGACTAGCTGAAGATGGAATCGGCGGAATGTTCGCATATTTCGAATGATCAAACGATTTATAAGAATAATTTATAAATTCAATTCTTAACAGATCGATAATTTAACATCATATAATTTGCTTTTTTTTTACATTTTCCAAATATCAACTTATAAATGATCCTTAAAGATTTCTTGAGATTCAAGATTCTACGAGATTCATATGAACTAAGAATACAACATCAATCGACTGTCGACTCTTAATGTTTCACTTTACGGCCTCGGTATATCAGGCTTACTCAACGTAATTGGTTGCGACCCAGTCAAACGGTTAATTCAAACTCGTCTTACAAATCATCTTATTTCTTCATAAGAAGAATGAAAATAAAGAACGTGTAATAATCATAGTTTCTAACCCCAAATATTTGAAAACCTCGAACCATCCCTGTCCAACAAGGTAACCTTTTCAGCGATCTCTCATCGATTCGGCCCCACGAATCGTTGAAAAGTCGTGGCAAGATGATTAATCGTGGTGAGTATATCCCGGAATCCAGTTGTATCGTTGCCTTTATCTCGAGTTTCCTGCGCGTAACGCTTGCCATTTGCGCGGCAGCCGCCGGCTAATAAGAAAAGGTGGTAAAAGGGTAAGATAGTTCCGCGCTCGAGCATTGTCTCGTAATAAAACGATAGGAATTCCACCGTTTATGTTTGTCCCGATCGGCTCTTTTCCCGATCCCGTTGCCGACCCGCATTCCGCTCGAAAAGTCAACTGCGCACGCGCGCATGCTGCGTGAGAATGCGCCCATTTTTGTCGTGATCCTCTCCGCCAATAGTAAATCATTATTCGCATATTTAATAAAAAATGATAGTTTGTGCGCACTGAGAACTGGGCGCAGCGAATTATATAGAATGCTGGAAATCACAATGCTGGGATTTATGCGTAGTATTAGCCGCATTGAATGTGTTATGACATGTGTGAGAAACATGTTAAATTTTGTTTCGTATTTGATTGTATTTGAGCCGCACCTCTTTTGGATTACAAAATATGATGAATATGATAAAATAGTGATACAATAAAATAATTTGATCTGATTAAATTTCGTTTTGGAAATTTCTAAATTTTTTTTTGTATTTTTTAATATTGTTCGATGAATAAAGTATGATATTTTGAAATGCATTGATTCGAAAATTGTCCATTATATTTCATTCATAACAAGAAGATATCAATGTAAAAGCAGTGAAAAAAGTAAATAGTGCAAGAAAACCTTAAAAACATTATGATTGGAAGTTTTCTCCGTTTCAACTGGTTATACTATGTTACTGACCACCTTTGATATTGCTATAACGTTACAAGTTGAACAGATAACAGCTATTACCCTTAAAGCTTCTAGAGAATTATATTCAATTCTACATAATCTGCTGAATATGGGGTATATTTAGGTTGTATATTTATCGTTTTCACTGTCAATACAGGTTTTTACTTATAAAATTACAATAAAATTATTCTCATCGTCACTGTAATCCTATGATTCTTCCTACCTGAAAGGAAATCTCAAATATACCAAATTACACGAACCACGAACAGAGATAATGATGGGCGAGTCTTTTTCAACCATGTTTATGTCCCCAGCACCACGTAACAAATGAGGCCGCTTTCAACCGCGCATTACGCATTGGTCACGGTGAATTAGGCGCGGAAGTTGTGCGCCACGATGTCACCGGGCCGTACGACCCCAGCGCTTCTTGGGAGGTGAGTCGGCGAGAGAATCGATTCGACTCGCTTCTTATCGGACCCTGTTAATATGGCTGGTAACTGTGTCTCATTCTTACGATTGGAGGAACCGTTGAATGCTTTTAACGCGGTAATTTCTGAATTCTTTTATAAATTGTGGAATGACAACGATTGGAGAGGATATTATGTGCTTGTTTTAAATAACTCTGTTTGTTGGATTTATAGAAAAACAATGGTTATTGAAATTATTAAAGATTTAGATTTAAAGATATAAAATTAAAATTAATTAAAATAATAAGAAAAATTATTTAATAAAAAACAATAAATACATGAGATTCTAATAATTTCAATTCATTGATATTTCTTTATAAATCACATTTATAAATCAATCTTCCGACTGTCATGATTTTCAATGACCTCATCATTTCAGAAGTGACACTATTAAGTACAAAACGATCGTGTCTGATCGCAGGAAACTCGAAAAACTCAAGATCATGCACAAATGTAAGTTATCTACGTTTTCTTGGCATTTATTAGTGATTAACTCGACGTCTATCTCAACGTTGTCGCCATGATAGCTCAGCTGGGACACCTAACCTTCAAACGTCGTCTCCTTACTGCGCAATTAGCAAGTTGACGTATTCTGAGATCATTCTGAGAGTGGTTTTCAAAGAGATAATTGGACGTGGAACGATATTATCGAAGTGTTACATGTATCTCGTATATCGTAGAATAATATTTCAAGTGTGTCGCGGAAATTGTAGGTGTTATGATTCATGAACATGCTTTGAATATAATTTCTTTGACTTCTATCTACCTTGTTAGAGAATTATTCTTATTAAATTAAGTAATAATAATATTGTTAGTAATCTAATGCTATTATAAGTGATAGTAATGATAGTAATTTTCAACTTTTTTAAAATCAAAAAATTATATTTCCATTATAATATCGCACGATGGTGTTGGATTGCAATACGGTAGCATGGTTAATCAAAATTAACCACATCGTTTCTTTTGAAATTCGAAATTTGCGTTCCAATCCTTACAGATGATTTCAACAGTGACCTCACACAACCTCGAACGCTTACCATAATAAAAACTCGACGGTGCCTCTTTAATTCAGCTTATCCAGTCCCAAGCAACATTCAATTAACGCGGCTCTCCTGCAATTTGCGCCATAAGCCGGGTCTCAACCTGAAACGCAGAATCGCGTCAGAAAATGAATACCCGGTCAGGTTTCCTTGCTGAGGGAGTGGTGAACGGAATGGAAATTTATCGTGACTCGCTCGAGGAATACCGGCCAGATTCACCTCGCCTTAGTTGCATAATGTTCCACAGAATTCTGATGTCGAACAATGACGAGCATCACGTCGATCGACGACGACACGGAGACGGAGACGACCTTAACCTTTCTTGCGCCCGGGGACACTTGTCCCTCGTGGTTCTTTTCAATTTGATCGATGGGCTCGCTTGGAATTCCATTTGTCCTTTAGTACGATTCGTACCTTAAGTAAGTTTTATTTTATATTCTTGGTGTGTGCAATCGCGATTTAAAGTAAGCAAGTATACTTACTTGTGAATGCTGGAAGATTTGGGGTTAGGTTTGCGTATGATTGATGGTTTGTTTTTTGTACATCGTGTGCGAGTTAAATTGTGAAAAATAGCTTAGAATTGGATTCAATAGTTGAAACGATGAAACAAGTTTATATGAATGTATCGTGTGCGAATTTTTGAAGTTCTGAAATATGATCATTAAACTAAAAAATATATATATATATATATATATATATATATATATATATGGAAAAATATATATATTAATAATTTTAGAAAGTTTATATAATATTTTGTAATATAATAATAATATAAAACATTCTAAAGTTTGATTTAATATTTCTAACCTCTAAATATAGAAATTTTTATACTCCATTAAAAATTAACAATACTTCATTGCATAATAAATAATAATAAACAAAAATAAATATAATCAAAAACAGCATTATATGATCATTGTCTTTGAAACATCGTATATTATCGTACTTACTATTTTCCAGTTAGAATTTTATCGATTATTTATTTTTAATTCTTTTCACATTCCTCCTCTTTTTCTATCTTTGCCATTATTGTTCAATATCTTCATTTATTATACATAAGCAAACTTGTGTAAATTAAAAAGATATACACAAAAATACACAAAAAATACACAAAAAAAAGAAAAATATGTCGTACGAAAAGAATTTATCGGTTCAAAAGAACAGCAGCCCAATATGCGTATCGTTGCGCGCGCATAATTAACTTAAGAGCAAAAGAAGGACAGGGATTGCCATCTTACGGTAATTACGATTGGTGCCATTATTGTAGATTATTCTCGTGTCCGGTTTTTTACGTAATCCGATAGTTACTACCGATAAACTCGATAATTATCGCATAAAGTCAGTTTTTGCCTGTTTTCAATATTTATCGTGGAAATCCCTATTTTTTTACTGGGAAAAAGACTATAATATTTGACTAAACTGTTTTATATAATTTCCTGAATATGTGAGGTTAGTTTCTCTCATAAAATAGTTATAAATATATTTAGTAATTATTAAAAAATATATTTAATAGTAATTTTATTAAGATTTCTTTTCCAATTAAGATCTAATCTTTCTCAAATTTTCAGTATAACGAGTATCTATGCATTAAATCTAATAATACGTTATGGAAAAATTTCTATATTGGTAATAATCGATATTATTGAAAGGAATCGAATAAATATAATGGTATTTTATTTAATCGTAGTGCAATTTCAGCGATTACATCAGAAAGTAAGTAATCTGCCTCGCTACTTGTCCACAAATTCTTTCACTCAACTACTTTATCCCTCGACCAAACAACCAGTTACTGATCGCAACTCGATTTATCGAGCGTCAACGCTTTTCTCACACCTATTAGCGAACCTATCAATAATACTCTCTCCGAGAAACTTAAGGAAACGATCGCACCATTAGGAAATCCTAGTGTCTACACCCGCGTCTCAACACGCCAAATAGTCGGCTACCTATATTTACTGTTATATGCCATAGATCAACGTACTATTTCTAACCAGTCGAGATTATCGCGCAGATATCCGACAATATAGAATCCATAATACCACGAACAGTTACATAAATATATAGTTACATGTCTCTAAGGAATGTGTTGACTTATAGATAATTGAAGATGGAGAAAGATTTCATAAAAGGTTTAGTATAATGTTCTTTAATTAAACATTTTGAATATATATATAAATATTTAAAGTTCCAGTTTTTTTTACAAAAATAATGCAGAAAAATAAAATATTTAATTGCAGTAAGAAGAATTGATATTGTTACGTTTCTCCAATTTCATCGTGTGGATTAAATTGAAATATTATTGAAATTTGATGGAAAATCTGACAGGCAAAGTGATATCCGTTTTACGTAATATCTATAGCGACAATACATGAGGAAAATTATCTTCGATGTTAATCCCTGTTTCAACGCACCCACGTCTTCTACGACATTTCCATATTCTATCGCGATAAGCCGCGACCAAGGAAAAACGAGACGCGGGAGGAGCCATGCTGTTTGCTATTTTATGTCACCATACAGAAATTTTTTTCATTCTGTCTTGCGATACGTATCGTGTCTTTTGTCGTTGCTTTTATGATATGACGTTCTACGTGGGAAGAATTATATGCGTAGTCATATAAATAGTATTCTTAATAATGAGAAAATTTGTTTTATTATTTTCTTTCTATAATTTTTATTGATATAATAAAATTAACTTTTGAGAGACGTTTTGGTTTAGAACAGTGGTTCTCAATTTGCAGATCGTGATTTAAAAAACAATATAATTTACTAGAAATTTATTACGTTTATTTATCCATATTCTAGGAACACCAGAATGATCATAACCCTCCCATTATTCATTTTATGCAAGATGCAAGGTATAATTCAAAAATTTAGAATCACATTTTCAATTGCAACTATATTAAATTTTCTATTTAAACGCAGATAATAATTTACAACAATAAATTTCTCAAAAGAATCTTTAGAAAATTCTAACCTAACTTTCGATCAATTCTATATTTCAGATACGTCCAAATGATTCCAAATTTTTACCCAGTAATGTACATTGAGATTCTGGATTAAAACTTATACTTATAAATAATTACAAAACGCATCCTCTCGAATACAACTCGAGCAGTAACGAGTGATTCAACGAGCCAAGATAAGGTCTCGGTTCGAATATTTACAATTCATTTATCGATAACCTGCTTCACGGATAAAAAGGCGAGGAAAAGAGAAAAGTGAAAGATAAAATAGAGAGAGAGAGAGAGAGAGGGAAGTTGGTCGGTGAAACGATTCCGTGATTAAGAGTAGGATGATCGGGGGCCGCATTTTGCGTGCTCAAGCATGCGTAAGTCCGAGGGCAGAATACGGTTATACGCCGACCGAAGCTGTGTCATCGTCGGCCAATCCATGGAGGATCGAGGTTGATCTTGGGGAATCGGAGGAGGAGAGTGACTCATACCGGTAGCCAGTAGGTTTTCCGGTTATCTGGGTTCTGGTCGCGGATTATGGGAGTGTCGGGAGAAAGGCTGTAATTGACTGTGATTATGTTACGTCGAGTTAGACACGGTGAGAGGTAAGGTTTCCACGAGGGGCACATCGAATTCCCTTGTTTTAAAATTATTTGGAAACGTATATATTGAAATGTTATTTTTCATCGTTTATTCATTCAATTATTTATGAAAGAAAGCTATGATTGAAAGTGGATAATTGAGTGAGTAAATTGGAGATAGAGAAGAAATTGAAATTAAATTAGCTTTCAATATTTACTCAGAAGTAATTATTTGCCATTGCTGTTATATAGATATGGGATCATTCGATACATTTAAATTATTCATTTTCAATTAGTCAATGAATTATTCAATGGAGTAATTGAATAAAAATATATAGTATTTCCTATCTTCTGCCCTATGCTAATGCTAAAAAAAGGTAATCCACGATGAATTAAACTACGTAACTGGTTTAAAACACGTATACTACATATATATATATAACGAGTCAAATATTTCGAGAATAAATTAATATTGTTCGTTATTTAAAATTATTTAAAATTTCGAGATAATATTTATATCGACGATAAAAAAAATTTTTTTTAATAAAATATACTTTATTTATTCTGCGACAGAGAAGATCGTTTGCCTAATCAAATAAAATAGGATTACATCTTGGAAAAAGTTGGGAGACACTGGACCAACCAGAGTTAATTAATGCCGATATCAGCAGCATCGATGAAATCACGGAACACCGGCTTCTCTCATTTGAATATCAATATCGAGAATTCCTTCCGCGAGTCGCACGGGCGTGGAAAAGCATATCGGCACTCGAGTGTCATCGTCGGTTCAATTATCCTCGGATAATTAAACCACGGCGAATTAACGCGCAGAATTTCGTCGTCGTTAAACCACGGTGGGATTTACAGGTTGAATCCGTTAAAAGGAATCGAGATTCCCGTGGCATCTGAAGCAAGCTTGTTTCATCGAATGGAAAATGTTGATATCATAGAGTTGGAATTTCCTTTTCCACGAATTTTCACACGATCTTCCGTTTCAAGATCTTCTGGTATACGATGAGAAGTTGAAGGTTTACAGGTATGAATATCATCATGAGATATTTTTTAGAATGAATTATTGAGACCTTTGTGTTTCTTTTTCCGTGGCTATAAAATAAATACATAATAATTTACTGTATACAGGATATAGCACGAAAATTAATATGATGAAAGAAATAATTTTTTTATTTAAATTTCTATTCGTGGAAATAAATGAACAAATAAAAAAAGAAAAAAAAGGAGAAAAAAATTAAAAAAGAAAAACGAAAAAAAAAGAGAGATATACTGGAGCTTAAGGCTGTATTTATCATCTCGAATCGATCTCAATTACCGCGAAACGTATCGACGTTTGGCGATCGACGAACGGTGAATTAGCCGTGGAGAGCTTGAGGGGGAAACACCGTATCGCGTGACATTCGAAATTGTACGAGAAAGCGGGCGCGGAGGGAGGGAAGAAAAGCGAGCGGCGCGGTGGAAAGCGAGCGGATCGCGATCGTGATCGGGAGCACGCTCGTTAGAGAGGCCGCCGGCTCGTTACTCGGCCGCTTCTGTATCAAATCCGGCAATTAAACAGCGGCGATCGCGTTTACGCCGAGATAAATACCGGTCATTTCACGAGACGAGACCGAGGCAGAGACTTATGGGTTGATGAAGATTATGCGGGGACAAGAGAAAGGTAGAAGGGATGACAGGAGACGACCAAGATAGTTCCTGGACTTCTATCGAGCGCGGATCTTCCGCTACAGCGACCTGGACGATGACCTCTTGGCGGATTGCACGTCCATTTTGAATGTCTGGATGTGATAATAATTTGGATTATTTGGATAGATTGGATGATAATTTCGATAAGGTAACTTGTGCATTTTACTTCATTTAAAGTAGCATAAAATGAGAAAGGGGAATCGTATACTGATTTTTTAGAAAAATTTTTTAGTAAAAGCAAAGATCTTTTAAAAAATTGTAATTCAAAGATGTGAAGTTGGAAGCTTCGTTCATTCTTTAAAATGGACTCAGAATCCACAAAGCTTTTTTTAGATATTGACAATTTTATTTGCAGAGTTATTTCAAACAAATAATTGGCCATTTTCCAATTACGTGTTACAGTTCACAAGATTAGAATATCATCCTAAACATTAACATGTTACAACCTATAATGACGTAAAATTTTATTGCCTATTCTAGGGAAGTGTAAACTTTTCGAGAGCACGAATAAAACCGAGAAGCAATCGACAAGAAGAGAGAGAGAGAAAGAGAGAGAGAGAGAAAGAGCAGCAACACGAAAGAAACAGGAGCGTTACGACGATGTCCACCGATGAATTACCATACCGACCGGATTACCTTTCATGCGCGAAACATCTCCATCAGCTGGAACCGCGAATAATCCGATAAGCGAATTAAGATTAGCAGCTTCTGATGAGCCGCTAAGTGACTATCGACGTTCGCATATCGACCGGCTTCGGTGACATGGAGCCGAGTAGCGACGTCGATCACTAGAAATCGATCATTGCCTCCTCGCTCGATCCTCCGATCGACGTTATTATCAGCATCGTACACAGTGTTGTAAATTCTTTGCACACACACGAGATATTTTTTTTCGTCATTATTGTTATTTTAATATGAATGTGATGGAGAATAGAAACATTCATGATAAAACAGTTATATTAGTTTAGGCTAATTTTATCCAAAGATTATAATAGCATGTTATAAGCTTGACTAATTTTATGTGTTTTTGATGTTGCTTCTTCAAAAATATCATTGATTATTTTTTTGATTTAATGTATATCAATATTTATAACGATTATTTGTTCCATAGTTAAAATAAAATCGAGTAATAATATATATAACATGAAATATTAAAAATTTTAATTTAAATTGTTGTATAATTATAACGATATAATACAAATGTTTTATTTAAACGAGAAATACTTATAAATTCCAACGAGAAAATTTCAATTTCATTACAAAACATTACATCTTTTTCTATATCAAATCTCCATCGCTGAAATTAACTATAAACGCAAACTTTCTTCTATTCTAATCACAACCCTTTCCAGAGTCCACCATCAACCATCCAACGATCAACATCTATGCACTGAATAGTCTCAGCAACTTTCTAAACTCTTCTCCTACCATCAATTCCATCCAAATCGAACCGACCAACGCAGCATCTCTCTCCACCAACTGATCACGGAAGATCGAAGTGTCAGGTTCCCACGAGAGCGTCGCGAAATTCACGAACCGGCGATCGTGTCGTCGGTTTTACGGTCCTCGTACAGGAGCTTGGAGCAGGTATACACGTTTACGACGTCGCTGGAAAATCGGCCGTAAACGCGACTCAGTCGTAAAGATTGTCGAGTGGTTGCTCTCTCACGTTCCGGGCCATTAGGATCAGAACGGCGAAAGAGAGTCGCACGGCCCTGGATGAAAGGATACTTTCTCTGTCGCTCGTCGACGTTTCGGCGCAAGCGCGATAGATCTCGGCGAAACAGCGATAAAACGATCATTTTGTTCTAGAGAGCAACAACTTCGACAGGTTGGTGACGAGCGATGGCTTAAAACATGATGTTAGAGAGGCTTTATTTGAGATATTGTTGCATCGAAATTTTTAACTTGATATTTTATGAGATAAATGATTATTGAAAAGTGAAATCTTTTTAAATATAATAGTTTGGAGAGAGTTTGTAAACTTTGGTTTGATATTAGGTTAGGTGTAAGATTTTGGAGAAGCTTGATTTTGAAGATTTTCTTTGGAATAATATTAGATTTGAAATGAGATCTTTAATTTAAATGATACTTTTAAAGATAATTAATTTTTGAAAAATCTTAAATAATTTATTGTTGATTCTTAGAGATTGTAATCTTTCTCTTAATATTAAATGTAAGAGATTTTGAATAAAGAAATTTGATTTTAGAGATTTTCTTTATAAAGTACTATTAGATTTGAAACCTTTGAATTATATTTTGTAAGATGATTAATTTTCAAGTTCTACATATTGATTGAAATTCTCCTAAACAATTTAGAAATTACTGATGTGAAATCTCTTACCTAGTATCTATACTTTCTAAATTATAAAGTAGCAAAATTTATAAAACATATAGATTTAACATCGAAAATAATATATTTCATTATTTCTCCCATTGTCTATCGTCGAGTGGAACAATGCTCGACTCGCGTCAAAATCGCTCGAGCGAGACGCCCTGTCTCGTGACTAGCGCTCGTCGTCGATCGCTTCGTGACCTCTCCAATTCAACCGCGCGAATACAATTTAATAATTCCCACTAGCTGTGTCTGGCCAGCCGGTTTTTTACACCCGCTCGTAACATCTTCGAAGATACCCTTTAGCCTCTGCTCGGCCATATTTCGATCGATTCTCAATCGGTTTGAACCGCTTGCGTCACACGGAGAAACCGTGATTACGAGAATAATCATTGGATCGACGAAATTTAACGAATGATCGACTTACTTTAGTGGGAGAAAAACCGAAAAAAAAAAAGAAAATTTAAAGATAATTTGATAATGTATTTTTATTTCGATATTTTGAATTCTTTTCATCATTTAAAAGACATAATTGGTATAATGATCGAAAGAATGTCGACCGGATAATAGCTGTCAAAGCTCACGTAATGGTGGCCGCTGCTAGCAATCACGCGTAAAATTAGCGTGACCAACGATCGTAGAGCTTTCCTTTGTCTGAACTTACTACTAGACTATTCTGACGTGTTTCGAATGCGGTGTGTTAATGGAGAGAAACGTTCCTGACACGTTTGAAGGGTATTATACGATACTATTGCCTTCTAGTGAATACAGTGTGAACGTAATTGGCCGTTTAGTGCTTTCTTCTGGCAATCAGTTGTTCGTGGTGTGTTCACAATTGCATTAAAACTTGTTGGTTATTTAATATGGTGTAAAAATCGATCATATAATATATAAGTGACATGAATTATTTATATTTTTTTGTAACATTCGTTAAATCCGATCTATTTCATTTGTATTTGAAATTTTTATGTTTGATTTTCTTATAAATCTTATAAATCGAATAATCTAATTCCTATTTTTTCCTTTTAAAAATTGTAAAGGAAGAAATGTCGCGAGATCGTCGTATCTGATCGAGCAATTCGAACACGGAAAGAGTCTAGTGTCACGAAGTCACGTAAACGGAAATGGTCATAGCAATACAACGGTGACACGGAGAAACAGTTGATCAAAAGGCAGTGGGTTTCGTGATGAAATGACATAGTAGCTTTCTACGGAGTGGCAGGGTCATCTGGGTGCAGCTGCCAATTGTAAACGATCACTGCACGATTCTATTGTTTCGTTTCGCTGGGGATTCATTTGAAAGATGATGATCAATGATTTATTAATAATAATCGATGAATCTATAAACCTATTAAATCTATCTTTTAAAAATTGCAATTTTCTTGCGAACAATTTATTATTTCCTATCATGGGTTAGCTTATATGGATTAACATAACCTATAAAATTTTTACTATTTTTACACTACAAAGAAACTATAAAAATTCTCAATACATCATTTTTTTCCATTTTCAAAATGTATCAGATTATAAAAAAATCTAGAATCTTCACCGACAACACTGCACACATAACCAAGAACAAAGAGAAATAACCAACGGTATCGCTTTCTTCAGTTCACAAATATCAAAATCACCAACCATGACCCAACAATAGCCACACGAAAAGAAACTGGGGAACACTTCTGGTTACGATTCTGTCATTATCGTGAATCGTTTGGAAACGATGGTGGCCGAGTATCGTCCGTCGCTCGTTCGATTCAAACGTCCAGATATAACCTCTCCTCTCTCTCTTTCTCTCCGTCAATTCGAAAATAGACTCGATCCTGAATTATTCGCCAGAACGATCCTCCCTTGTCTCTTCTTTCTCTCGCGTGGCTTTATCGGGTAGAGAAATCGACGCGGGCTCGCAGCTAAATTACCGGCTGGCAGCGTGTACGCGACCATGATAGACGCGGCAACACCTAACGCCAGTCACGATGCCAGCGCCACGTGTAAAAACGGCCATTGTCGGTACAAAGGGAAAAGAGACTCGTTCCGTCGCGTCGAGCACATCCGAGGGACGTTTCGGATCACGGACGATTCGATGGGGGGCAATGTGGCTAACGGATTGTCCTACGAGCCAACCGTGGACGTGTCCGATCGTTTTCTGTATCCTGACCTGTCCTACTAGCCTCCTGCTGCTGCTGCAATGCCTTTATGGTACATTGTTCCACGGAAACTGGGATCGCGATAACGGGAAGCTTTGACATTTCGCCGTGTTAAATCTAGTACTTTATCGGTATTTTGTCGTACGGAATAGAGCGTAGTGTGACTACAGCTCTATCGGACAGAAATTTTTAATAAGATTGTCCGAGGAGATAGAAGGAAGAATATATTAGAAGCTGAGATTAAAATTATATGTAAGTAGTGATATTTTAGGTTAGAATACTATTGTTAGTTGAGCAATTTACAATGAATCGTACATAGATGGTGATAAAATTTATAATAAAGTTATTAAAGAGTCAATCAAATTTAGTGAGGACTTTTATATAATGTTTAAAGAAGATTAGAAGATTTTAGATTAACATTATAGAGACGTTCCTTCTCTAAAAAAACTTGTCATTGCAAGATGAACTATGATCGACTACACCAATAGTTCTCAACTTTTTTCAACCTTAAAAAGAAATCATTACTATTTTAATTATGTTAGACATTTAGCACAATTTATTTTGATATAATTACATTGTCATTATATATTTTACAGGAATATCAAGATGATCCTTTGACTAATTCAAAGGTTAATTTTTTTCTAATTTTTCTAATTTTCTTTACTTTATATGATAAAAGGCACAAGTTATTTATATATGATAAAAGGGCGTCGTAATTCAAGAAAGACTGGAAAACACTGGACAATACGATCATCCAGTATCTCGATTCTCGAGTTATGGATCCGGCGATCGACGAGCATCCCTCGGAGGTGGCTCACGCGGGTCAAGGCGAACCACGTGCACGTGCGTGTACACGCAATGGCGCGAGAACACAGGTGGATGGTTAACGAGCCCTGGGAAATTTTTCACCTTTTCCCTCCTTATTCTTATTTTTCTTCTTCCTCTACTTGTTCCTCGTGTAAGAACTAGTTTCATCGATGTAGTCTTTTTGGTTCAGTTTGTAATCGTGCGCTACGCAAATCGATCTATAGATACGGAACGCGTACAGTCCTTTTCTGATCGAGATACGGACATGGGAACCGGTGCTATACTCGGTGAACCTGCGATAGGAATGCGGGAGAAGCGAGTGGATGCAAAGTTGTATCGCGAGGATGAAGTGCGTAACAATTTCTTGCTGCAAGGTACGTGAAAGGGATTTGAAAAAGAAATATCAGTAAAACAATTTTCATCATCATTTGATTTTATACTGATTTCACTTATCGGATTCAGATTTTTAATTTAAAAATTGTGAAAATGAATTTAATTTCTTTTTTATGTAAATCTTATGAATGATTTTTCTAATTTTCTACTTCTAATTTTGTCATAAATTCTGTCTATAATGTTCAATAATACCTGTTAATTATGATCAGTGGTTTGATATAAAAAAAAAATTACACGATTGCTAAATAGTGAAACGTGGTATTCGTGATATCGAATGCAAGGTATTCGCAACGTGAACGCAAGAACAAGAATGTCGTGTAATGCGTATTGTATGTATATCGCAGTTCAACGCCATTTCTTGATCTCGTTTCGCCAATTTTTTTCTTGAATTTATACCAGCTTTTGAAATACCCCGCTATATATATATGATATATATATTTTATTACAATATGACAGCTGTTTCAAACATATAGTAAGTTAGTCAAAATTAATCGCGCTTCCATATTCGTAAAGTAAGATTCGTGGAAACAAACGAATGTTCCAGATGTCTACGCCAGTGCAGGACCACAATGCTCGGTCACAATTTTCGAGGAAGGAGAGGGGGAGGATTTCACGCGGGGACGCGTACACCTCCTACACGACGTACACCGCGGCGTATAGCAGCCGCTTGACAGCTGTCACCTCGGCCGAGGGGGCGACAAGACACGGCGAGGCGAGGCGAGCCCCGGTGATTCATGCGCCGCAGGGGGGCACAAGGATCCGGCGACCTCCTGTCAAGGATTCCTTCGTCGCATACCATCCGCTCGAGGTGACATCGCGGCCGGCTGATTTAATCGCGAACACGAACCGTGTTGCAGTCGCGGGCCCATGTGCACGGCATGGAATTCGAGTCGGCCCATTTCCACCCGATCTTTTCTTTTCATTCACGTATATACACATTCTTATACTGTTCTTTGCACTGTTTATGGAGCGTTAACAACTGTTTCGCCTGAAATACATATCACCAACTTAATACTCGATAAGTAAGGAATTAACCAAATATTCATCGCATAGTAAATAATTATTTTAACTCGATTCTAACTAAATATTCGTCGCGTAGTAAACAATTATTTTAACTCGATTCTAACTAAATATTCGTCGCTTAGTAAACAATTTTAACTCGATTCTAACTAAATATTCGTCGCTTAGTAAACAATTATTTTAACTCGATTCTAACTAAATATTCGTCGCTTAGTAAACAATTTTAACTCGATTCTAACTAAATATTCGTCGCTTAGTAAACAATTATTTTGACTCGATTCTAACTAAATATTCGTCATATAATAAACAATTATTTTGACTCGATTCTAACTAAATATTCGTCGCTTAGTAAACAATTATTTTAACTCGATTCTAACTAAATATTCGTCGCTTAATAAACAATTATTTTAACTCGATTCTAACTAAATATTCGTCGCATAGTAAACAATTATTTTAACTCGATTCTAACTAAACATTTGTCGCTTAGTAAACAATTTTAATTCGATTCTAACTAAATATTCGTGGCGTAGTAAACAATTATTTTGACTCGATTCTAACTAAATATTCGTCATATAATAAACAATTATTTTGACTCGATTCTAACTAAATATTCGTCGCATAATAAACAATTATTTTGATTCGATTCTTTTTTTTGAAGGTGATTTGATTTGGAAGTTACGATGGAGAGTCACCAGAGATTCACCAAGAAAGAGGATTTAGTGTGATTTAATTTTTCTCCATCAAGAAGACCACGTTAAATCGATCATCGTTCATCGAATAAATATAAACAAAAAGATAAATTTACAGTACGTGACTTGAAAAGAGTGCTTCGACGAGGTTTGTTTTTCTGCTCGCTCCTTCGTTAGGTAATGGAATTACCCGAACGCAATGACACAGCGATTACATAATTGCGACCCTCTCGTTGACTCCTCTCGCGCACAGCCAGCTCCATTACTCTCTGTACCCCTCTTCCTTGTCCATCCTTCTTCCATCGTTCTCTCTTTCCTGCGTGCAACGCGGAGAGGATGGTCGATTATTCTCGAGAGACAAATGACACGGTCGACGAGAAGTAACGAGCGGCAACGAGACTCGTCAAACGTGTCGTTTCCCGGATCGTCCGCTTCGTTGAATGAAAGGGGAGGGGGAGGAGGGCACCGAACGTTCGTGGCGGTGACTCGTTAGATTTTCTCGTATCGATTGGAAATCGGAAACGGGAAGTTGCCTTAAGAAGTTGCCGATGGTGACTTGCGCTAAGGGTGGCGGTGGAGAATAATCACTCGCTTGATTTCCCTCCATCAGGGTTCGTTTGTTTAATCGTGTTTTAAAAAAGATTTTTAAAAATACTCGTTGGATGTATGACTGTAAAGCACGTGTAAGCAAATATCTTGTGTACATATTATTATATATTATATATATTATTATTTATTATACATATATATTATTATTATATTATTTATATATTATATTATAATATATATATTTATATTATTTATTATATTATTTATTATATATTATTTTGTCGAATTTTAAAAATTTCATTTTTATTAATAATAAATTTTAAATATATAATAAATTATATATTAAATATATATAATAATAGTAATAATTATATAATAAATATATAATAAATTAATTAATAAATTTATCAATAATATGTTCACCTTTGTTCCTGATTATAAAATTATCGTCTAATTTGTAAATAGAGACGTTGTACAGTTCCATCAGATTGATCTTTTTGAAATGATATGAACGTTTCAAGATCCCGTGGAACCGAAAGGATCGACAGCTGTTAACCGAAGGCTGTTGGCGACGTAATTGGGTCGATAAGTCGAAGACGTGGACGAGGTCCGGGTGTGTCTTATCGCACCGTGACATCGGGAAGTCGGTGAAACGTCCAGGTTGCCAGGTTATCCACGCGAGCACGTGGACATTCGTCGATACATCAATGCCCGTTAAATTGTCTTGAAACGATTTATATAGGCCGGCGGCGACCTTGCGAATTCCCACACACGCGCGAATGAAATGAACGGCCGGATTGAAACTGTTCCAGAAATGTAACAAGAATTAAGTGTTCGAAACTATCGCTCTTTGTACGTACAATTTGTTGCAAAAGTAAAACTAGATTAGAAGTATTCGATATTCGACGCTTTTAAAGGTAAAAGTAAGAAGATGTTAAGTTATTAAGCAATTTTTAAGTTTGCCTTAAGTGAAGTAGAGATAGAATATTAAAATAACTTTGTCTTCGTTATAATTATTTTGGTATATTTTTTTAATTATGAATTCCATTTATTTATTTATTTTTAATAAAAATAATATTAGGATTTGAATAAAGGGATATTAAATTGAATAAAATAAATTAGAAGAATTAATTTGAATTTTATTTTATTTAATAAACAAAAGGAAAAATAAAATATGAGAATTAATATCCCTTTAATAAATACAATTAATATTATAAAAATAATATTATAAATTATATTATAAATAAAAATAATACAATTAATAAATAAAAATAATAAAATTTAATAAATACAATTATTATAAAAATATATTTATTGGATAAGATAAACCAAAATCTTTTAAATATCTTCCACGAACATATTAACACCAAACAAATAAACAATTCAAAAAAAAAAAAAAATAAAAAATAAAAAAGAATTCCATCTTCTTTCCAAAAGAAGGTTAAAATTTTCCAAGACAACAGCTTATCACGGATTCTCCCTGCCTGCCTTCCCTTCATTCGCCAGCCCCTAGCTTTTCATCAAAACCTCTGATCCGCTTAAAACAATTGATACCTCGTCACCCTCCGCTAATCTCCGACGAAAATCTCCAAAAAGGAAGGGAGAAAAAGAAAGAAGAAAACAAAGAAGAGAAAAAAAGAAACATCCCTCGAACATCCACAACCCGGTCACAAGTTCTTCTCCACCCCTTTCCACCGGTGCCATCCGGCATGGGATGAAAACGGCGGCGGCGATGGTGGAATCCAGACTTCCCCTCGATCGTGGATTCTCTCCCCAGGGTGCACTGAGCGTAAAGCTTTATGCTCGCATTTCCATCATACGCACAGGCAGCGCCGATTACGACGTATCGCCCGTTAAAAATGCATGCAATTAGCCCGCTCCGCTTCTTAACCCGGCGCGCCCTCCAACCCCTTCCTCCCTCCCTCCTTTTCCCCCCACCCGGGTGACAAAATTACGATCTACCGGGTGTCGTTAATATCTACGAGTCTTGGAAACACGGCGAGAGCCGCTCCGGAAAACGCGGAGGAAGAAATTGCGCTCGAGGGGGAGGGGTATGTGTGTGCGTGTGTGTGGAGAAGCAGTAGTAGAGGGGGAGGGGATGATCTGTGAGATCTTGGGGGGAGGGGAGGGCGAGTCTAACGCGATTTCGAGCCGAGTACGATTCGGGGGAGGGGGGGGATTGGACGACTGTCCCGAATCGATAGGCAGCCCCGATCGTGGAAAAGTTCTAACCTTGGTGTCTGCCCGTTCCTAGCGTTGCCTATCTATAATCTAGGATTTGGTATAAATATAGGTGGAATTAGGCGAGTGGAATGGTTTCAGGGTGGATTATTGGAAAACGTAAGGAAGATTTGAATACTTTGGAATTCTTGGTTGTTAGGCATAAAAGTAAAGTGGGAAAGAGACATATAAATCTTTATTTTTATTATATATATATATCTTTATATTATATATATATATATATATCTATAAATATATCTATAAATATATATAGATATTATATATATA